TACATAGTGAACTACCAACCGCTGCTGGCATTCGAAGATATGTTGTGTCGCGTAAAAAGAACTGCAAAACTCCTACAATCTCAAAGCGAAGCAAAGCCGGAAATACAGGTACGCCCTCGTGACTCAATTAGGTTACCGCCAATAGATATTCCGGTATTCAATGGTGATATTAAGACGTGGCCCTTCTTCTTCAGTAGTTTTCAAAACAATATACACAACAACCCATCGTTATCGGACGCTGAAAAACTATATTACTTAATTAGCAAACTTAGTGGCAGAGCACAGTCGATCTGCTCGGGTTTTACACCTACACCAAACAATTACGTATTAATATTTGAAACGCTTAAAAAAAGAAATTAGACTCCGACACCGTGCGTGCGTTTGAAATGGAGCATCGTAGCTCGGAGATGCCTTCCTTTCATTCATTAGCATCGTTCGTGCGAGATCAAATAAAGGTGATGCATCGCTCTCCGAACGTTAAACAGGAGATTAAAAGGTGCGTCGACCGTAGACAGACTCAACCATCTAAAATAGCAGGGTCGTTAACTTACGTAACCGCTACGCCGACATCACTCCAGCATACTTGTATAGTATGTAAAGATAAACACGGTAATTTATATAATTGTGCGACTTTTCGTAAATATTCACCAAGCGAACGTTATAAGTTAGTAAAGACAAACAACCTATGTTTGAACTGCTTAAGCGATAAGCATTTAGTTGCAAAATGCAATTCGAGTTCCGTATGTAGCAAATGCGCCAGGAAACATCACACGCTATTACATTTTGAAAATAGCAACATAGCGGCGTCAAGTAAGGCGGATAAGGAATTCACCCCTACTAAGGTCAACGATTCTAGCGGCCGACCTGGTGATGTCGCTCTGTGCTCATTGGCAAATATGGGAGTACAACCTCCTTCGACCGTGTTACTGGGTACGGCGCGTATTTTGGTTAGGGATTCGCGTGGAAACGAACAAAGCGTCCGTGCACTGCTGGACAGCGGAGCCCAAAATTGCTTTATAACACGACAATGTTGTCAGCGCTTAGGTTTAGTAATAAATAGGTCACTTTCATGTCCTGTAGTTAAAGGCATCGGAGGTACTAGTAAAGCGACACAGGGATATATAAATTTAAAATTTTATTCTCGGATAGATCGTAATGTTAACTTTGATATAAATGCACTAGTAGTAGATAGGGTCACTGAACGGTTGCCAACCGTTTCGGTTGACACCTCGGCAATGATTGAATTTAAAAATTTGCCTCTAGCAGACGACACTTACGCCGTTCCTGGAAACATAGACATGCTCATTGGGGCATCGCTTTTCCCTTATCTTTTGTTAAACAATAAGGTCAGGGGCAACTCCTCGCATACCGCGCCTTACGCACTGGAAACCGTATTGGGCTATGTGATCCTTGGCTCCGCCCCCATCCTAGATAGTATTTCGGCAACCTCTTATTGTGGTATGGCTGTCGAACCGCTCGAGTCGTTAGTCCGCAAATTTTGGGAGATGGAGGAGGTGAACGTCCCACCTATAGTTAGTCCAGATGACAGGTTATGCGAGGAAATTTACGTCCGCACGACCGTTCGTGATCGCGACGGTAGATATAGTGTAGCGCTACCCTTTAAAGGAGATGTTTTATCTCTCGGCGATTCGCGTCAAATGGCGGAAAAGCGTTTCTACAGCTTGGAGCGTAGGATGCTCGCTTCGCCCCAGTTAAAGGAAGCTTACGACGGCGTCATTAACGAATATATAAGAGAAGGTTACATATCGCTTGTGGCTTCGAAATTAGATAACTACGAAGACACACCGTCGTATTTTATACCACACCACGGAGTCATTAGAGAGGACAAACTTACATCTAAATTACGTGTAGTGCTCGACGCTAGTGCTAAAACTAGCACTCACCTGTCGCTTAACGATATCCTCTATAGTGGGCAAAATTTACAGGGCAGTTTATTTAATATAATAGTCAATTTTCGTTTGTTTAGTATAGCACTATCCGCCGATATTCGCCAAATGTTTCTTTGCATAGGGGTCCGTGAATGCGACCGTAGATTCCAACGCATTTTATATCGCTTCAACCCAAAGGAATCTCTAATGGTGTTTGAATTTAACCGCGTTTGTTTTGGTTTAAAGTCGAGCCCATTTCATGCGTTACGCACGGTGAGACAGCTCGCTCACGATGAAGGTCCCTCTTATCCTAAAGCTAAGAGGGCAATTGAGAGCGGATTATATATGGATGATTTTGTGTATTCGGTCGATAGCGTGGAGGAGGCCACCCTAACCACCGCCGAAGTCATAAGGCTCATGAAATCGGGTCAATTCGATCTTGTGAAGTGGACTAGTAATTCGCGTACGGTTTTAGATACAATCCCACTATCACACCGTCTTTCGGCGATAAAGGAATTCGACGATTCCGATACACACAAGGTGCTCGGTCTGTGTTGGTCACCAGAGTCCGACGTGTTTAGCCTTAAGGTAAATCCGCCCGTAGAGAAATGCACAAAGCGCACAATACTGTCATGCGTTGCTAGATTATGGGACGTCATGGGTTTCGTAGCTCCTGTGGTATTGTACGCTAAGCTTTTGATTAAACAACTTTGGTTATTTGAATGTGATTGGGATGACTCGCCGCCTGACAGCATTGTTCGATTGTGGCAGCGCTTTAGAGAGGAACTTCCTTTACTAAGAGAAATTAAAATACCGCGTCATATAAATGTCGATAGAAATAGCAGCATAACGGTCGTTGGATTTGCAGACGCCAGCGAGAGGGCTTACGGGGGCGTTGTATATTTCCATGTCCAGAATAATGGTAGAAATTCGATTAGCCTCATTAGTTCTAAGTCGAGAGTCTCCCCCCGTAAGGTTGTCTCTCTGGCGCGCTTAGAGCTTTGCGCAATATTAGTACTCACCAAGCTTATTACCACAGTTATCGGCGCATGTAGGGATAGAGTTCACATAGAAAGGATATTTGCCTTTTCCGACTCCACCGTCGCCTTATGTTGGGTTCATTCTTCACCCCACCGTTGGGATACGTTTGACGCGAACCGAGTGGCCAAGATCCAAGACGAGTTAGAAACGCGGAACTTTTATCATGTGTCCGGTAAGGAAAACCCTGCCGATTGTCTATCCCGGGGACTCACCCCCGATGCAAATAATGGACCACCCGCTTTGGTTCCATGGACCTTCTTGGGTTCACTTGGATCCCTCACAATGGCCAATAACCGATTTCGAACCTTCGTCAGTGTCACAACCGCCGGAAGAGAAGAGACACGCTCTAGTGGCGAGCGTTTCGAGCGAGGTTTCTCCAATTATTGCTCTGGCGAACCGCTTGTCCTCTTGGTCGAAATTATTGCGTATCGTAATTTACGTTTCTCGATTCGCGAAGCTTTTACCGCGACGTTCGTATATCTTAGCATCCGATTACAACTATGCCGAGTCGCTAGTATTACGTGAACTTCAACGTGCGCACTTCTCCGAAGAAATTACAAGATTACAATCGAATAGAGCTTGTAGTCGCGCCTTTCAACGCCTTAAGCCATTTTTACAGGATGGGATTGTAAGGGTAGGTGGACGCTTGTCCAACTCGCAATTGAGTTTCGACCAACGGCACCCTATAGTTTTACCGCGTAAAGACCATATCATGAACTTATTAGTCGATTATCATCATAAATTGAACTCGCACGCTGGCCCCGATTTATTGATGTCGATCTTGCGTCAGAATTATTGGATTCTTTCTGCACGTAGTTTAATACGCAATCGGGTGCACAGATGTATAGCTTGCTTTCGGGCACGCCCCAAGCCGTCATTTCCGGAAATGGCGGAACTTAGATCTTGCAGAGTGATACAATCAGTAAAGCCCTTCACGCACACCGGGTCTGATTTTGCTGGTCCGTTTAAGGTCACGCTCCACCATCCACGCATCCACAAAGGCTTACGTCTGCATTTTCGTATGTCTAACTACTCGAGCAGTGCATATAGAACTCGTGGGTGATCTAAGCACAGCAGGCTTTATGGGTGCATTTAAAAGATTTCTATCCCGCAGAGGCCCTGTAAGTAAATTATATTCGGATAACGGTACGAACTACGTCGGTGCAAAACGTATTCTATCGGAACTACATGAGCTCTTAGCTAGCAAGTATTATAATTCGGAGTTCGCTCACATTCTAGCCGAGAACCGCATTGAGTGGTCTCTGAACGTCCCAGCCGCGAGTCATTTTGGGGGCAATTGGGAGACTAATATTAAAAGTCTAAAGAGCCACTTATACCGAGTAATAGGAGATCAAATTTTGTCCTTCGAAGAGCTAAGTACGGTGCTCGCTCAAATTGAATGCGTAATGAATAGCCGCCCACTTTGTCGGACGTTATCTAGTGACCCCTCGGAACCGCTGGCTCTAACTCCAGCACATTTTTTGAATTTAACGCCTCTAAGGTATCTGCCCGCCGCGGATATGGATGAGAACAGACTTAGCATTTCCGCACGCCACAAATTATTAGATCGGTTAGTGCAATCGTTTTGGAAACGATGGAGGATGGAATACTTGCACACTTTGCAGTCTCGGCAAAAATGGAACACAGCGACAGAGCCTTAAGCTGTAGGAACGGTAGTTGTGCTCACTAAGGAGAATACGCCGCCTCTCCACTGGCCGTTAGGAATCGTCGAGGAGGTCTTTCCCGGTTCCGACGGAGTAATTAGGATAGCTCGCGTTAAGACCACGGTTGGGTCTTACCTACGTCCTGTTGTCCGTTTGTGCCCCTTGCCTCTTCCATAATTTAAATTAGATTTCTAGATTAAATTTGTAGTTGAATTTAGGTAATCTTAGCGTTAGTTAGTTATTTGTTAGTTGATCTTAGCTCTAGTTGTTTAGTTATTTTTTTTTGAAGGAAATCCTTCAAGGGCGGGGGAGATGGTTGCGCGGAAAACCATTCGCGTTTTTTATTTTTTTTTTCAATTGCTGCAATTTATTGTTGTTTCTATTCATCAACAAAAACAATTTTATTTTAGTCGTTTCTGTTGGGACTAAGAACTTCTGGATCTAGTACTACATCACTTTTATCGATGTTTTTAATGTAATGCATTATCTCACTAAGCATATTTTCACAGTCTTCATATTCCGACCCAACTCCATTACCACGGTCTTTGAGAGAGCCGTTTTCTTTAGATCTACCATGAGTTTGATTACTTTCATTTTTTAATGTTGCTTCTGACATTGTTTCGTCATTCTGATCATTCATAATGTCATCTTTTGTGTTGTTAGATTTAGATAATTGTTCTGTATCTTGCTTACTTAAGGAATTAATGTTACTAGGTGACGACAGTCTTATCCGATCTGGGCATCCCACGGAAACATTTGAATCTTTAGGGAACCCCTGTTCGTAGTCTGCATTAGAATTCCTGTTAGGAATGATCCCCGAATCATTATCTGGATCTGATCTACTAAGATAATCGTAACCTTCATTTCTTAAACCGTTGTCAATAGTTTCATAAACTGGATCTAATATTTCTGCAAGTCTCTCGCTGGCTTGTATTGATATTATTTCAGCAACGTGAAGTTTTGGTGACATCGACGTGTATTGCTCTTTTGCATCGTCAATGTTTTGTGATTGTATGTTGGTGCTGTAGGTGATTCTTCTATTAGAATTCGGATCGAAGCTCGTACGAGGATTACTAGAGCTGCGAAATCGTGAGCTTACTGCGTTCTCTGTTTTTTTGTACGTCGCCTTAACTAGAGCATGCACCTCCTTGTTCACATAGCAGTAAAGCAAGGCCACGATAAATCCTTGCAGGCCCTCTAAGGTGTATGAAACGTAATAGTACACCTGTTCCCAAGTGCAATCGCTTGTAGTTGGTCTAAACGCTGTTAGCAGAAACTGAGTTCCGAACAAAGGCATCAAGAATAAAGTCGCCTTTGCTGTACTTAGCTGATACGAGTTCTCGGTATTCCGTAATTTCGTAAGCAATACTCTCAAGATATCGACGAACAGGACGGTGTTGATAAGTAATATAGCAATCCTCGGTGCGTCCAAGGTCCACTGCACGTGCTCCACCGTGTACACAATCCAGCACGAGTGGTCGTTCATCAAACTCATAACTATGGCCCATGCTAGTGCTGGAACTAATGCAATCACGATACCAGCTCCGTACAACCACCTTACTTTGAGCTTCTTCCGGAATACTACAACGATGAGCCTGTGCAGGTACACGCCCTCCACCAGCATGCACACGAACACGCAGTTGGCGGCGACGCGCTCGGCGACCGCGAGCAGGCGGCACGCCACCTCGTGCCTGTACATCACGGTGTCGCCCGAGTTCGTGAGCTCGTCAATATAAACCTCGCTTCTACTGATAATAACGAGGATATTCCTGATAATTATAGCAATGAGTAAGTTTCTATGCAGCGCTACTCGTGTCACTCTCAGTCGCTTGTAGAAGAAAAAAACGAACACGGCGGGCAGGCAGGAAACAATGGACAGGGCCAGCACGGCGATGTGCAAGCGGTACCGACGCAGCAGCCGCGGCGTTATGCTGCACGTGCTGTAGTCGGTTTGCAGCTCCCAGGTGCCATTCGCGAAACATTGTTTGTTGCTGAAATGATGACATGTGGGCCCTTCATTAGAATATGCGAATTCTGAACAAACGGCGCTAGCGACGGTATCAGATTCCGCAGGTTCCCAACAAGTCCAGCCGTCGAAGGTAGCTTCACATTGGTTTTGATCGGGGAACTAGATTTTCGGCAGCCTTAAACACGTGGCTCCACCATATATATATATATATATATATATATATATATATATTATGTTATATTCTGCTGTGACGGTAATGCTAATGGTATAATGATACGTTGCTAGAACAAGCCCATTACTCAACGTTATTCACATTTGCTGTGCTCGCTGAGATTTATAAGCTGAAATAATAAAAAGAAGAAGAATTCAGAAGAATCCTTGGCATACGACAGGGAGTAACCAGCTCTGAAAATGTTTTTAGTTATTTCCCCATCACCTTCCACCATTACCATAACAGCCGATCAAAAGTCCATTGCTGAACATGACCTCCCCATAAATTGCCCGTAGGGTGGATATATGCGAAAATCGCATTCGCATAGTTATGAAATATTTGGTAATGTAATGTAATATAATGGTAATTTTATTCCATAAAATTATATAATAAACTACCTGACATATAAAAAAATTAAAATAGTGACATCATACTTACAAACAAATTAACAGAGTTTTAACTAATAAATGTTACTATAATACTAATGATTTTTTTTAGGTAATAAATAAATTTATAGGTTAAACAAAATAATCACTCATTTAAATTGAATTATATTTCAATAAAGCACATGACATTCATCATCATCATCATCATTACAGCCCTTCACAAGTCCACTGCTGAACATAGGCCTCCCCCAAGTAATGCCACAAAGCACGGTCCTGAGCCACCTGCTTCCATCGACTTCCTGCATGTGACATTCATATAATTAGTTAAATACGCTTCCTCTCTCCTAGCCCCTAAATTGCGCGCCCAACAGGGTCCATAACAATGATCTCACATTATTTTATAAGATTTTATGTGTAGTGACAATGAAACAACGGGGTTCAGATAACAACTGTTTTTAATAATAAAGGCGGTTCTTAACATACAACATTTTAAAACTACCCACAACATCTTCCCCTTAAAGAATAAGTTTTTAACAAAAGTTATATTTTAATAATCTTATATAAATAAAAAACTTACATAAGTACAAATTATTTTTTTATTTTACATTACTATAACCTTAACCTTTTTTTGTGATTACACATGATTAATTAAGTAATTTTTTAATGATTTCTTAAATTTACGCGAACACTACACATTGAATAAAACTAAATTTACGGATTTTATCGCGTTTATTTCACTACTTTTACTTATTTTTAATTCCCGACGTTTCGGGTGCTTTACAGCAACTATGGTCACGGGGGGGGACTGAGATGTTTGACGTCCCAATGTCATAGTTAGTCCGGCTACCTTCAGTTTTTGAATATTAATTTTTGGTCCGATTTACGCAAAACGAGCTTATAGTATCATGAAGTCTTGCAGTGGTATGCTTAGGTTTGGGTTTAATTTCTCTTCTCTATTGAAATTTGGATGTTTTTTAATTTCAATAGCCTCACGTATCATCCTTGGTTAGAAACTGTGTTCTTTTGCGAGAATTTGTGGTTTATCAAAACGAATGTAATGGTGGGGACGATCTTGAACATGATCGCAGACTGCAGACTTCCCGGAGCGTCGGTGCTTCACGTCAGCTATATGTTCTTTCACGCGAGTTTTTATGGATCTTTTTTGTTTGACCTATGTAAGAGAGACCACACTCACAATCTAACTTGTACATTCCTGCATCTTGTAGAGGGATATTACACTTGACGGATGGTAAAAATTGACTAATCTTCTTCGGCGGCTTGTAGTATGTTTTAATAGAAGCTCGCTTCAAGATGTAGCCAACCTTGTCTGTGACTCCTCTGACATATGGTAGTACAGCAGGTACACGCTCGACTGTGGCCGGCTTCACTCGTTCACTGTGACGTAGGCGCGGGACCCGAAACTTGTTGTCTTGCAATACTTGCTTGACGTGCTGAAGTTCGGCGGCCAGATGTTTTCTGTCACAGATCCCTCGTGCTCTCTGAAACAAAGATTTACCCACGGTAGCTAACTGTGAAGGATGATGGTGAGATTCACCATTTAAATATCGGTTGGTATGGGTCTTTTTTCTATACACAGTGTGACCAATTGTGTTATTAGGATTTCGAATGACTAAAACATCTAAGAAAGCTAAAGAATTATTTGCCTCTAACTCCAATGTGAATTGTATTTTAGAGTTTATAGAGTTAAGGTGGTTTAAAAATGCAGTTACTTTGTCAGATGGTAATATTGTGAAAGTGTCGTCTACGTACCGCTTGTAGAATCTTAGATTTACAGGAGCAGTAAGAAGGGCTTTCTCCTCGAAGTCCTCCATGAATATGTCAGCGACTATGGGAGATACAGGTGAGCCCATCGCCACACCATCTACTTGCTTGTAGAACTCTTCCTTCCACAATAGATAGCCAGATGTGAGGCAGTGTTTGAGTAATACTGCATATTCAGCAGGCATGTTATTATATTCTAGCTTCCTAGTTACAATTGATATGCAGTCTTCAATAGGTTAGCATGTGAATAGTGACTGAACATCAAAACTGACCATAGTTTCATTGTCAGCGAGATGTAGGTCTTTTATCTCACTAACAAAATGGTATGAATCCTTTGTGTGTGCTCTGGTATGTCCTCTCAGTGGTGACAGTACTTTTGCCAAGTGTTGTGCCAGCTTATAAGTTGGTGAATCGATCAGGCTCACTATAGGACGTAGTAGAGCTTTTGGTTTGTGTATCTTCGGTAACCCATACAACCTCGGTGGTTTGGTACATGATGGTATTAGCGAATTCACGTCGAGATTTAATTTTTCGGAGTGTTTCTTTATTAAATCGCTAGTTGCTTTAAGCGTGTTAGTTGTGGGGTCTGTTTTGACCTTTTTGTATGTACTTTCGTCCGATAAAAGCTGTAGTATTTTAAAATTATACTCTGACGTGTCCATTATTACCGTAGCATTTTATTATTAAAAACAGTTGTTATCTGAACCCCGTTGTTTCATTGTCACTACACATAAAATCTTATAAAATAATGTGAGATCATTGTTATGGACCCTGTTGGGCGCGCAATTTAGGGGCTAGGAGAGAGGAAGCGTATTTAACTAATTATATGAATGTCATGTGCTTTATTGAAATATAATTCAATTTAAATGAGTGATTATTTTGTTTAACCTATAAATTTATTTATTACCTAAAATATTCATTAGTATTATAGTAACATTTATTAGTTAAAACTCTGTTAATTTGTTTGTAAGTATGATGTCACTATTTTAATTTTTTTATATGTCAGTGTTACGGCCTCTAGTTACCCGGGCAAGGTCGTGGGACCCGGGCCCATCAGGGGTTCCACTCGACGAGTAACAGGAGGTCGGCCTAAATGGCTTGTGGAATATTACACGTTAGCGGTAAAAAGGGAACCAAACAAAACTTACCTATTTCTTCGAAGTAGGGTCAACCCTAGGAAGATTCAGGTGTAAGTGTGTGCGTGCTGTATTGTGTTGTGTTGTGTTATATTATGTAACCTGACTTCCCGCTGGTTGCAGAACCGCCGATCCCAATGCTTCACCTCTATTCTTTATATCGAAGTGGCAGTCCGTCACAAAAATTCAAGAGTCTCGGAAATTATACTCGTTTCTCACTTGTTAATTGGAGTCAAGTCAATTATCCTTAGGTTAATCAAATAAATTCCAACAAAATTTAACCGAACGCGCGTTACAACAACTCGACATTTGTGAAAAATGCAATATCACCGGGCCGCGTTGCAAACAACTCAGGTTCGCGAAGTATAGGCGTCAGAGGCAGCGGGCGACTAAGCTATTAACACGACGCGCAACTACTCAGTTCCAAGCTCTGCGGCAAGTGGTCCCAAAACGCCGACGCCGGCGTGGCCGGACGCCGCACCAGCCCGCACCCCCCGCGCCTCAGCCGTCAGGCTCGCCTCCCGCTCGACCCGAGCGCCGACGCAGGCCGCCAAACGTTAAATTAGGCCTAAACAAGCCCCCGTCCCGGACATGAGGATCTAGGTCCGCGAGTAAATTGGCAAGCGGGATAGGGTAGAGACGGCACGTTGCAAAACCGAATCTCCAACCAAAACCTCGGCCACCCTAGGGATCCCATCCGGTCCATACGACAACTTGACAACGCGCCCACGGCGCCAATACAAGGGCGAGGCGTTAGGTTCTTTAACTAACACGAGGTCTCCAACCCGAGGGGGGGTCCGTCTTGTCAGACCACTTAACGCGCTGCTGCAAAAGATGTAGGTACTCCAGAGACCATCGGTGCCAAAAACTCTGAGTTATTTGTTGCAGCATGTCAAATCTGCTCAACCGCGAAGAGATTATTTCCCGGAAGGGGTACTCGGGCAGAGCGTTAAGCGGCTGGCCTATCAGGAAGTGGCCAGGGGTCAGAACCTCTAAATCATTCGGATCGGACGAGAGAGGACAGAGGGGCCGAGAGTTGAGGACTGCTTCAATTTTACAGAATACAGTGGCAAGCTCTTCAAATGTCAAAATAGTTTCGCCAATAACGCGACGGAGATGCGTCTTTGCAACCTTCACCACCGCCTCAAAAATACCGCCCCAGTGTGGGCAAGCCGGAGGGTCGAATTTCCACTGGATGCCCTTCTTGGACATCGCAGTAGTTAAATAGGTCCTGTTGCTAGACAGAAATTCAACGACCTCCTTCAAATACCTATCAGTACCCTTATAATTCGTTCCGCAATCCGACCGGATCAGGTCCGGTAAACCGCGACGCGATACGAAGCGACCCAGTGTGGACAAAAAAGCCTCCGTGCTAAGGGCACTTACAAGTTCTAAGTGAACAGCCTTATTGGAGAGGCACACGAAAACGCACAGATAGGCCTTATGAGCACGCGCGTTACGAAGGTTAGAGGACTTGACGAGGAAGGGGCCAGCGAAGTCAGTTCCGACTCCCGCGAATGGTCGGATGGCCCTGACGCGGTCGGGTGGTAAGTCGCCCATCATCGGCTGTGATATGGGGGCCTTCAACTTATAACAAGATATGCACTTAAAGATGACGCTCCGAATGGTGCGTCGACCCGCCAAAATCCAAAACTCCCGCTGCAAAATGGCCGAAAGAGCGTTGCACCCAGCGTGGGCATTCTGAACATGGTAGTGAGTTACCAGCAACCGAACAAAGGCGCCGTCCTTGGGGCGTCGAGCCTCGTACGGCAGTTGAGAATTTTTCAAACGTCCGCCCACGCGAAGCATCCCCGAGTCATCCAGGAAGAGGTTCAGGCGGGCCAGCGCACCCTTGACAACTAAGCCCCGCTTCAAGGTATCAATCACGAGCTCGAAATGCTCCGCTTGGATCATACGGGTCCAATGCATCAAGGCTTCGCGCCGCTCGCTAGGGGGACAAGGCGGAATCAGATATTCGGTTAGATGGGTCTCTCGAGTTGCGGACAAATCGACGCAACCAAGCAGTTACTCCCAAGAGCTTGTCGAGAGAGCTGTACCGTTCTAGTAAGGAGAGATCACGAGTGGGCTTATCCTTGACCACTCCTACTCGGGCTCGTAGGCCAGGCAATTCAATTGGTTCAGAGTATTTGTTCTGGGGCCAGAACGCCTGAGACTCAGTTAACCAGCCGGGCCCCCACCACAGCGGGTGATCAACCAAGTAGGAGGCTTCACAGCCACGAGAAGCACAGTCTGCTGGATTCAACTCCCCCTGGGACATGTCTCCACGTTAGACAAGTGGCAGAATTCTGGATTTGGGACACGCGATTCGACACGAAGACCTCAAGATTGTGAGGTGCCGCTCGGAGCCAACAAAGTACTATCTCACTGTCCGACCAAGCGTAGACGTCCGTAATGTCGATTACCGACTTCAAGGAGGAGTGAACGTGGTTGAGCAGTCGCGTGAGAAGAGCAGCTCCAGACAGTTCCAACTTAGGAATAGTTAAGCGGGACCTAATGGGAGCCACTTTGCTTTTAGCAAGTACGAGATGGACGGAAGTATGGCCAGAAGAGCTCACCGTCCGCAAATATACAACAGCAGCATAACCCTTCTCAGAGGCGTCGCAAAATCCGTGCAGGGTAACCCTGCATTTCCCTGGAGGGAGGAAGCACCTTGACATGGAGACCCGGTCGATGTCTGGAAGGGAGGACACAATTGAGAGCCACTCTCGCAAGAGAGCACCGCTTATAGGATCGTCCCAGCCCAACCCGGATATCCAGAGTTTTTGAAGGAAACACTTAGCCAAAAAGATGACCGGAGTAATCCAACCATTAGGATCGAAGGTGCGAGCTACAGTTGACAACACAGAGCGCTTGGTCCATGATTTAGGGGGGGATCGAGCTTGACTCGATACGTGAAGGTATCCTGAACAGGCTGATATTGAATGCCAAGCACAGTCAACAAATTAGGATTGTCAGGGTGCTCGAATAGATGAGGGTCTTGTTGATCTTCTCCAGGGAGGTCCTTCAAAATATGAGGGGAGTTCGACAACCATTTGCGCAGCTCATAACCTCCCGACTTCAGGATGGCAATCAATTCGTCTCGCAATACGAGAGCCTCCTCGACGGTGGAGGCACCCGTACAAATATCGTCCATGTAGACCGAGGTCTCCAAAATAGAAGCCCCCCGAGCGTATCTTAGGCGCTCTCTCTCAGCGAGTTCGAGGAGGGTTCGCATGGCGACATACGGGCTGGATCGGAGTCCATAGGTGGTGGTGTTCAACTCGAACACTTGTATCGGATCGCTGGGCTTCTCGCGCCACAGGATCAGCTGATATCGACGGTCATCACGGTGGACCACTGATTGTCGAAACATCATCCGAATGTCGGCTACAAAAACAACTTGATGCCGACGGAAGTGGGTCAAAATGTCGGATATGTCCTTGATCAATTTAGGACCAGAGTGGAGACACTGGTTCAGGGACACCCCATTGGACGAGGGGGCGGAGCCGTCGAAAACCACCCGAATCTTACTCCCAGGGGACTTCAAAACCGCGTGGTGGGGGAGGAAGTAGTGTTCATGTGATCGCCAGTCGAAATGAGAAGGTGACATGTGACCCAGCTCTTGATATTCGCGCATGAACTCGACATACTTGTCGCGAAAGGCTATGTTGCGACGCATACGGCGCTCCATAGAAAGCAACCTCTTTTCGGCCATGGTCCGAGATTGGCCCAAAGGAGGCCGTGAGTCAAGAAAGGGTAAGCGGGTGACAAAGCGACCGTCGACACGGCGGCCGGTATTGTTCTGGTAGAACAACTCGCACTCACGGTCTAGAGGGTTGACTCGAGGCGCGTGTGGCGGCTCCTCAATTTCCCAGAACCGCTGGACGACGTCCGAAAGAGACACGCCCGCCACAGGGAGCGGGTCGGCTGCCTGATGCGGTGGAGACCACAGAACCGGTCCGAAGAAACTGTGCCCAAATACAGTGGACACGGCTGACAAGCCATCGGGCTGTAGGGCTCGTATCTCGCCTAACAGGATGAACCCCAGCACGTCGGCCCCCAGCAACAAATCTATAGGCCCAGGTTGGGACCATTGAGGGTCTGCCGGTCTCAAGCCAGACGTACAACAAACCACGCTCTGCTACCA